CACGAAAGGAAATTTCCCGGCCCGATCGTGCACACACTGTTCACTACGAAGACCTAGAGGGGACATGAAGATTTTTAATACGTACATAGGCCGAAAATCCATGTGTCCCTTTTAGTACGTACGTAAGAATATATCGTCATGTTCCCTCTAGGTCTTCGTAGTAAATAGTGTGTACGTGTTGCACAATCGGGCCGGAAATTCCCTTTCGTATTTTGCAATATTTTTTTTTACAACACGTTATCCCCTGGTTTTCTGCCCCATAACACGCAAAAAAAAATCGCTGTTTCAAATTAACACCTACCGTGAAAGTCTACATAACTAAAACATGAAAGGTTTTTATGTTAAATGTGGCCTATTATTTCGCGAAGGAAATTCGTGACAAAACGTAGATTCCTATGGTTTAAAACACAAACTAGACACCTCTTTTAACTAAGTCTATGCAGTTTTTCTTGTAAAAATTAAAGGGTTAGTTCAACCTTACAAATAATAATAGACGGTATTAACCATTCACATTGTCTAAATTTAATTTTGTTGAAATTTCTTCAAAATGATTGTAACCACTACATCAATCATAAATTACCATACGCGTATTACAAAATTTCAATAAACTGTTTCACTGAACTACACATTCAATTAAATCTAGTACACTTTAATAATTTAACTTACTATATCAAAGACAACAACACGTCCAATAGCACACGGGTTATAAACCATGGGCGTCAATCCTGGGGGGGGGGGGGGGGGGGGGGACAGGGGGACATGTCCCCCCCCCCCCACTTTTTAAAGGGTGGGGGACACAATATCAAATGTCCCCCCAGATTTTTGAACTTGTGCCTCATTTACAGGGCCCTATTATGTACTACAATTTATCTTTTGCTAGGAAAATATAGGTTAAAGTGGTCAGAAATTGCCTCAGATCGCACCACAGAGCCCTCAGGCCCCGAACCCCACGCCTTTAGCTTAGAATTTAATAGCTTATTCAATGACTTCAACCTCGAAAATGATTTTCAAATTATTATCTTTTGCTGGGGAAATATTGGTTAAAGTGGTCAGAAATTGCCTCAGATCGCACCACAGAGCATCTAGAATCAATTTTTTTCGGGGCCCTTAATTAAGCGGGCTCCGAACCCCACGCCTTTAGCTGAGAATATAATAGCTTATTCAATGACTTCAACCTCGAAAATGATGTTTAAATCATTATCTTTTGCTCAGAAAATATTGCTCAAAGTGGTCAGAAATTGCCTCAGATCACACCACATGAGCATCTAGAATCCGATTTTTTTTTGTATTGTTGTAATTTTTCCGACAGCCGGTTCCATTAAGACGTTAAGTTTTAAACCATCGCATGTCGTTTGGATGTGCTTAAATCGTTTTAAAATGAATCGACGAACAAAAAAGCTTTGACGAACAATTTGTAACTATTGTTTTCTTTTCTGAAATGTTACAAATATACAAGTTGAGGGTGAGGAACTTTGCTACTTGTTTCTAGAAAAAAACATTTACAATTTCATTTTTCGCCTATCTCCCACCAAAAACCCCTTCGATCCAGGCATTTTTATCAGATAAATAAATGCAGTTATCAATAACTACACCGCAAACTGCATGCTTGAGGATGGGTGGGGAAGTACCCCTTCCATTCTCCCGTGAGATTTTGCTCTTTTTCCGAATATGAATTTTGGTGATGATCGTTATAACTGCAGTCCGATGTAAAATAAATGTTGATCCCAATGTGTTTCTGTTGCCTAATGACTGTATATACATGGACTTTTGATACAAGATTTCAGTATATTGTTCCTGGTGAAAACCCACTTCCCTCCCCTTCAGTACCTGGATAGCTCCTGGTGCGTCTCAGCCATCCTCTTCGTCTTCCTGACGATGCTGATCTTCGCAATCGGCTAGAAGTTTCCTGCACTCACCCCACCAGCCTGACTTCCTTTCAAATTGAATACCGCGACTGAATGACTCCCTTGCTCTTCTATGCTGGCCGAGTAAGCACAGACATCGTCCGCGGACATTGTGGTATTGGTCCCGTTCGTTGCCTCTCTGGCAGTTCTCTGACATGAAACAGTTGTACAGAGCCTTGATGAGGAACTCCCGTCTTGTTACTAAGTCGAGGGTGATCTTAGCCATTTGTAGATACACATCAGCCAGCATCGCATAATCCAATGACTTGCTTCGTAAGTATGTACTCCAAGTCGTCTTTGGCTTGATCAATGTATCTCCGATTTGGAGCATTTGCGCTAACGGCACGTTTGTGTTGCTTGAGGCAGAGTTCGGCCCTGCTTGAGTACGCGAAGAAATTCTCTTTGGCGCTTGGCAGAAGGATGGACTCCTCGTAAAGCCTCAGAGCTTCTTCCACATCACCAGCTTGGCCACGAAAACGAGCAAGATAATTGAGAACCTGAGGGGAATCTGGTGATATTTCCCTCGCTTTGCGCATGCACCGTTCCGGGTCATCGATAAATTCCGCCACAGATTCTGGTACATCTCCTATCTGCACATCCCATTCCGATGCCCAGCGAAAGATGAAACCAATCCGAACCCAGGCCGAGCTTTTCATGTTGACATCCGTAGATGGATGTTCCGCTATGGTCCAAAAGCTCCAGACAGCATTATCCAACGCTTGAAAGGCCTCGTCGTGTGTCTCGCTTGTCTTCATTGTTTTCTGTAACATTTCGTAGCTGGCTTCTCCAGCCAGGTACTTCCAATCATTGCTCTCGTATAGATCGACGAGGTGACCCGCCATCTCCATCGCCTGATTGCAAAGCTCGAGCACTTTCCTGGATCGCTCATAATAGATAGCATCGTTGTTCTTTTCGTCAATGAGGGCAAAGGCTTGTTCGGCGTATCTCCTGGCTTGTGCCCTCTTCCCTTCTTCTGTAGATAAATCAGGCTCGTCAGGAGCAGCCGTGGGAATTCCACCTCTGGACGCAGACATCACAAAATGACGGTTGGCCATGGCGTTCAAGTTGTCTGGGTCTTCTCCCAGAGAGAGGATGTGATTGAAGTAATCCAAGGCGCCCTGACGGTCGTTTTGTTGCCTGTAAGCGAGCACGCCTAGAAGGTTACGAATGGCGTGACGTTCCGCTTTATTCTTTTTCTCCTCCAAGTAGGCCAAGAGATGACCACGTTTGAAGTCGGCGGTAATATCAGTGAGTCGACTTCGGTTACAAAGCAAAGACAGATGGAAATGTCCAACAGGCGTAGCCAAAGTGCGCCGGGATGCCCTGAGAAAATAGATTTTAAAAATCAATAGCTGAATTCTGCCTTAGATAATTATATAAGTTTGAGACTTCGGTTATACCTCAAGTCAACACAAACGTTATTAACGGAATTGAAATACTTCCTTTGGAATTTAAATACACCCAATGACTCAATCTGACTATCTAGGCCATTGGATGAACGCAGTTTGATATTCATATTGTTCGATGAAACTTACAAAGCAAGGTTTCATTAAAACACCAAATACATGTATTTCATTACAAACATTAACGCCGAATTGCGATCTTCATTGCCAGTTAAAACGATTTCTCACACTTACATGTTTGCTTTATTCAAGGAACTATGTTCGCTCATCCATGCCGCAACAGTGTGGAGCAACTGGCAACACAATGCATCCGTTAGAACTTATAATGACAAGCAAGGCAATCATACGACATTTCTCATTCGAAAACGGGGCTTCCCATCATTGATTTCATCATACTCTGCTCGTCGGTTGAAAATGTGTCAATATTTATAAAAACAGACGTTGGCTAGTCTGCCGTTGTCCAACAACATTTAACGGGGCTTCTCATCATTGAATTCATCATTCTCTGCACGTTAAAAATGTGTTAGTATTTCAATATTGACGTTGCTCGAATGTTCCGTACGATCTTGTACGCAAGGGCGTCGCCAGGATATTTTCTAGAGGGGGGCAAAGAATTTTTTTGCCAAAAAATTCTTGTATTTCTCAACACATTCTCGATTTATCAGTTTTAGAGGGGGGCAGGGACATTTTGCCCCCTCCCCCAACTCATTAAAATTACACAACTTTGTCTTCGCGCCTCTTTTTCTTTTCTTTTTCTTTTCTTTTTTTTCTTTTTTTTTTTTTTTTTTTTTTTTTGCTTTTCCAGGGGGGGGGGGGGGGGCAAGTGCCCCCTTGCCCCCCCCCCCCTCGCGACGCCCATGCACATGATGGCTGTAATCCAGTGTCCTTAGTTTAGAATCGCGGTGTAGCCAGCGTTCTCACCATAGGAGTGAGGGCCGGGCAATTTCTGTAGCATCGGGCCTAAAGATAGACAGGTGTTTTTTTTTTACTGGTCACCTCGGTAAAATCGAAAAGTAGGGGAAGGGGCTGGGCACCATCTTTCTACGGGGGCGCCCTTCAAAGCGGACACTAGCGGACAATACGTGGCGCTCTTCATGGCGACACAATTTAAAAAAAAAAGCGAATTAAAAGGCTGCTCGTTAAAACAGGACTAGCAAATTTCCAGGGGGCGGGGGATTGGGGCGGCCACGCCCCCCGGTTTTATTCAAGGAACTATAATTATGTGTTCGCTCATCCAAGCCAAATCAATGTGGAGCAACTAACAAGACATTTGTCATTTGAGCACTGGGCTTTCCCTCATCGATTTCGTTTATAGTGTTGACGTTGCTCGCATGTTCCGTATGATCTGACGGAAGCCACTGGCTGTGCGCCAAATTTAAATGTCTTTCATTTTGAAATTCAGAAATCAACTTTAAAGAAGAACAGACTAGGCCTACCCGTATGTAAGGGGACGTAAACAAAATAAACACGTTTCTCATCCCTGCACGCTTCTTTTTTTTCTTCCTGCCATCCTCCTTTGTTTGTTGTTAAAAGTAGTACATGTTTTGAAAATTAAAATAATTAATGTTCTTCTCATCTACAGGGTACTATATATAAACGTCTTTCCAAGAATCTTAGATCGCCCTTGTTTCCAGTCTTTATGACTTGATGCACTTGACTTCGTTTTTTTTCTTCTTTTTGGTGGGTAATGCAGGTGACTTCGGACTGGTCCACTAAACTCTTTGGATGTATGGAGGACGAACACACGTGTAAGCTAGCAGCTGCGTTGACATAATATTTTAATAGTCAAACAACCAACCAAGCATCGAGCTCCTTGCTAAAGGGGCATGACATAAAATTTAGGATGGAACTTATTTTGTGCATATATCCATTTCCCCGAAATGTATGAAAATTATGAGACATCCTCTTTTTGGTTAATTATCTAGTAAAGTCCACTTTTCATAACATTTAAAACACCCATGCTTTTTTCTGACAACTGGGGGCGCTGTTTCCGTGATGCCACTTTAGGAACACACTTTCCAGATTACGAGGAGGAGGGGGGGGGTGTTAAAAAAGTGAACCCGAGTTTTTTGGTAACTGAAACATATTTGTGCATTACTTTTGTTCTTAGACTTTTTCATGTACTGATACAAAAATGTATCACCAAGGCCAAAAAAATATACCATCGGAAAAAAAACTAAATTCTAGAGACTATTGATGCTTGAGTAGGTTTCTACATACTGTAGATATCTTAAAAGGATGGCACAAGCCCGTTTTTTTGAGCATGGTTGTGTTTCTAAAGATTATTGTCGCGTTCTGCTCGTTTGTGTATAGTTTGAAGTGCCGAGTCAAAGTTACGTTTGGCCATTAACGCTGAGATCTTCAACATTATTTCCACATAATGTAATTATTTTCCCGGCACCCATCTTCTGATATATTTGATTAGGTTTACTGGGTGCGCTGTGCACACCGTGTTTGGCCTGTTCACTGGCCCGTCAGCTCGGGGAGTCCTGTTGTGTCGTGGCCTGTGTTCCGGGAGGAGTCTTTGCGCTGAGAACAAAGCTTCGGATGCAGCAAAACATTGAGGTCAGGAACTGTCAAGAAGTTTATTTTGTGTAGTTCCCCTAAAAAGAAAGAATTATGATGTAGAGCCATCACTGCTGATGAGGGATGGTATAAATATTGACTGCTTAACTCGTGGTGAAGTGTAGACTTTCCTTGTGATCTACGGAGCATTCTATTTTCGATTTTCCCTCGGCTCGCCTTGGCTAGATTGAAATGTAGAACCTCGGGAACAAGATATTGGAACTTTACTAATAGAACTTCCAGCTATAATGAAGGCAGGCCGCAGGTGCTCAATACATCACGGAAGACTACTGATATAAGACAAGCTAGACAGCTCATTTGGTTGAGCACTGGTGAAGGTACCGTGTTGGGTTTAGAAAGCTGTTCCTGGTAATTTCTCAGTTAATTCCAATATTTTGTTTCTATCCACTCCAGGGTTCAATCTGCGATGACTGCCTAACACTGAGCTGCTGTTGTCCATTTGCCCTGTGCCAAATGGCCCGAGAGCTGGACAACGCAGAAATTGGACGATTATAGGATGAACTGAAACCAGTACGGCCACCTCGAGGGTCAACAGGCTGAACACAATGTGCATGACTTAGGCCAAAACTGAACCCAAACAACTCCACCACATTCTGAGATGATTTCTGAAAATAAAACGCAGCAAGGCAACAGCGAAATCATTCAACAGATAGTGTTTTACAAGAAGATGATATAATTTCAGATATGTCAAACTAACGCTATGCAAAGGCTACATCTGTACTGTAAAGCAATTCAGTCAGGTCACATTTTATTAGAAATGATCAATTTTTATTTCAATTCGACAAAACAAAATCGACACAAGCTGTGATGTGCAATAGGAAAATACCTTTTATAGTGAAAATATCAAATCGGCTTTGAAAATGAGTGGTTTGTGATCTTTTGTGTTGAGGATAAAAAGACACGAAGAAGAAGAAATATCAACCAGCGCACCCTCTGCATGGTTGGCTGCCAATTTGAAATTTGTCTGTCGTACAGAGCACTCGGTGAGATATTTTTTAAGCTTTCACTGATGCAAACACAAACATTAAATTCGTTTGTTCAGCCCTGAAGACCTTTATTGAATAACGGAATTTCAAATAAAGCAGTGTTTTCTGAAAGTCGGGAGGTTTCCATCAAATGGATTGATGCAATCTGTGTTATTTATATGTTCATATTTCCCGACACAAATTATGTAAATAGTCCAGTGAACAATTTTATTACAAGATTTTTTATAACAAACTGCTAGAAACGTTTTCATTTTAAACGTATATATAATTTTTTTTTGTAAAGTAATCTGTGAAATTTTGTACAGCAAAAGTAAAAAAAACACAAATAGCTATTATACAAACAGCTGTTTATATTATTGTAGTTCAATATAATACAGTTTGGTAGTTTGTACATATTGCAAGAATGTATACATTCTATGACAGATTACTCTCAGTAATATACTGTATATACACAACATTACTAGATAATATGAATCCACATTTAAGAGTGTAGAGAACATAGTCTGAAAGACTTTGACATGAATATTTCTGTAAGAATCCTGAAGATTATGATTGAAAAATTTTGCCACCCATTCTGAATGTTATTGGAAACACTTTTCCGATGATATATTTGAGAAAAATTGTAATGATAATACGAATCCACTGTAGTTATTGGATAATCTGAATCCACACTTGAGAACAGAGAAAATAGACTGGAAAGATCGAGTCTGACATTTGCATATGAACACAAAACTTTTCTTTTTGTTTCTGGATAATATGTATTTGCACATTATATTAGACACTTATACTTCGGCACTGTCAGTCCACAAATCAACTGAACGTAAGTGATTTGAAATTGGGAAGGACACAAACTCCAGCGTTTGTTTCTTCTGTACTAAACTTGAAGTTTCTTTAAACTTTAAAACACTGAAGGTTGGCCTACACACTGAGAAAGGAGAGAAATTGGCTTTCAATGTGCTACAGTTATTTTCATCAGCTGGCATGGAATGGGGGTATTAACTGCAATAGTATCTGCTGTGATTGTTGGAAGCACACAAATATCAACACTGACTAGTGTCTATCAAAGTGGAACAAGGCCATTGTAAAATATTTTTTTTTTAAATGCATTAGTTTGTAAATTTATGCTAAATTCATAGGTATTAAATATAAAGTAAATAAAATACAACCTGTGCTGAAAAAAACCCAACTTGATAGTCCCAGTTTGTTGAATGTTTTTTATTAAACCGGCAAGCTAAAATAAACTGCAACAAAAATACACGCACTTGGCAAAAAAAAGGCTCATTCATATGCAAATATTTACAAGAAGTCATGTGTTACAACTGATAATGTAGTAACCAACAGACAACGTATCACCAACCGATAATGTCACACAAATTAACCGACATTGTATCGCTAACCGATAATGTAAAAAAAATTGACCGATATCAGTCAATTGTTGTTACATTATCGGTCCTAACCGATTCCACCAACCCACCAACTATTGGTGATTGTACGGGAGCCAAGTGTCCGGAGAAAAGAAAACCTGTGGACATTTCAGCAAGGATGTGCGAGTGCCCTTTAACGAACTTGTTTACCCCCCCCCCCCCACCCCAACAAAAATTGCCTTGCTACGCCTCTGCAATCTACAAACTTCCTTTCGCACGGGTCGTGCCGGCGCACATGGCCCGGAAACAGCGGCGTTGCCGGGGAAGGGGGGGGGGGGGGGAGGGGGGATGTGTGATGGTAATGGGTTTGGGCCTTGCCGGGGGTAATTCCATGACCACTTATAGGACTAACACATTTTCAATGGGGAGGGCACTGGAGGAGTGACGATTTTTTGGGGGTGGGGCCCGGTGGCGTAGCCAGGAATCTTTTAGTGGGGGGGGGGGGGGGGGGGCTGGAACATTTCATGGGGGGGGGGGGCGTCATGTAGATCAATGATAATTTTTTCAGAAACTCAAAATCTCAGTGGGGGCGACGGGGGGGGACGACAAGGTTTCATGGGGGGGGGGGGCTGTCGCCCCCCACGCCCCCCCCCCCCCCCCCCCCCCGTGGCTACGCCACTGGGTGGGGGTGGGGGAGGGGGGTGCGCCTGCTCCCATAATTTTTTGGACTTATAGTTATTAGAAAGGGGCGAGGGAAAAAAGGGGCAGAAGTCCAAGCGTCTTAGTAAGTAATGCTGAGTGGGCTAAGCACATTGTATCAGCATCTACCTTTAAGTACTGTAGTTAGATTCAACCACCATTGGTTCCCTTTAAAGTGCAAACAATAAGCATGGCATGTTTGTTAATGTTTGTTAATGTGTTCCAAGCAACCGAAGATATGTGTCAAGTGACAAGGTGTGGGCAGTGTTTATTCTCGGATGCAAACATTCAGGATCAATAGTAAACAGCGCATGCGTGTTGCACAATCGAGTCTTTTGCCCTTTGCAACATCACACGCTATCACCCATTTTTCTGCTCCATAACACGAAAAAAGTACATTATTAAATTAAAATCCAACGTAGTTTTCAGCAATAGTGTAAACCTTGAAATAGAATATTTAATAGGCCACGCATCTTTACGAAAATCTGCGGTTTTATGATACAATCACGCGACGGAATTTAGGGTACAAAATGTGGGTGCTAGTCTTTATTCCAGTCACGGTTATGTTTCTTTTCGATAAAATCTCAAAACTGGATGGCTTTATTCACTGCTGGAAACGCGTGCTGCGAGGTAAACAATGGCTGCATCAAACGTCACATCCGATTTTAACAATACGGATTTATTTTCCTGACATATTTTCAATTTGTATGTGGGGGGGGGGGGGGCTGGAACTTCATTCCGATATCGGGCGTCTACGACCCTCTAAATGTTTTTCATTTTGCGCACAAATGAGCAAACGAACCCGCACTACGAGAGCCAAATTGTCTGCCAATTGTTCGAATTTTGTTTAGAAATAAACTGAACAACCAACGTTGGTGGATTTTGGTTCGATGTGTTATGAAAGTGAAATTCGAATACATGTACAGCATTGGAAACGCAGCTTTAATGAAAAAAAAGTATGTTGGTTTCTAGTGACCAAAACCTTTGAAAATAAGTAAACAATGAAAAACTATACATTTGGCACTCTCGAAAATAATAAACAGTCATCTGTACATAATAATAGGAAATCGTATACTAGGCAACGCCATGAAATTGGGCCCAATCATGCTAATGACACACAGTTTATAAGAAGCCATCGA